CACCGAAATAGCAATAAAGCTGAAAATTCAGTCATCTGTGAGCAAGCGAAGTCCCTACAATGTTGACAAATCCTTTATAGAGCAGTATTATAATTTAAAACCTTCCTGAGTCAGATGCATAGTAAGAAATGACATTGGAGACAATTCAACTCTAATCATGAATACCACCAACTCAGGACAATAATTCTGTTGTCACTGCGTCCAAGATAGGATAGATCAAAACCAATCCATTCTCTGACAAGACAAGATCTTGAGATTATAGTAAACTATGAACTAGCAATACCAATTGTATAAAACGAAAGTGGTATGTAGATATGGAGGTATCGAGCACCGCACGCGGCGCGCGCGTCGCGACGAAGTCTCCGAGACTAATTGAGTTTTCAGTTGTAAATTATTCCATTTGAAGAGCCGACAACTTTTGCTGCGTTTACCGCCCGCGAATCATAACTCTGTTAATTAATTTGTGACGCTTGTATGCGGTGTTAAAACACCAGATGTTAGCATCACCCATGAAGATAAATATGAAGATTGGAACATAATATGAATGCTATAGTAGGACATAAACAGAGTCCATCGGAAGATTTAGACATCCAAAGATCAGAATAGTATCTTGAATTTCTAACTAATTTCCTAAATACTAAAACAGAACATTCTTTGCCTCCGCCGTCATGTTCAAATTGGTTTATTGTTTTTCTTACGTTGTGCCCTTCAAGAATCGATATATCGAAAATTTCTAATAGAGGTCAGTAGGACGGCGTAGCTTAGTGATGCGTACATCGTCCTGTCGACATCGATAGCCCGTTTTGTCCGCGCACGCTCGCCAGCCCGTTGATAAAAAGATTACACGTTGGCGTATACGAATCGCGCGTGATGTGAATATTAATGCGTCCCCTCTCGCCCCTCGCCCTCTGCCCCCTCATCCCTTGTCTCGTCACCGATAGATTTTAATCGGTCGATGCCAGTGACGGCGTCGCGACACCGACTCTTCGACTGATTTAATTTTCATTTAAACAAAATTTAATTACACGTAACGTGAAAAATTATATCTTGCATTGACGTAGCGGTGGCATACACTATCTGCTTCAGGTTAACATTTGTAGTGTTTGCTTTACTTTAAGATTTCCCTTATTACAATGCATCAAACTTCATAAAACATACCATTTAAATACATCAAGCAATGGGTTAAAAGGGGCGTCAGTAGACACAAGGCAGGCTTTCCCAGATAAGACTAGCGACCTCCTCAAACAGATTAGTGAAAGTGGTTCCGATTTGAATATTTTTTTATCTATGTAGTTTATTTTCAAATATTAATGCCGTTTGAGGCATTAAGAGCATTACCACCCTTGTTTTGGTTCGCGAATTTGCATGTTCGAGGGACAGCGGCCACGGTTTGCATGCGACGGATCAGCGACACGCATTACGACAATGTATTCGGCGACACGTAAATAAATAAAGATAAACATTATTGCTGCGGAATTTATTTGCTGAGTACATACATATTATTGTTGCGTTATTTTTATATTGATAATCCCTTAAACAGGTTATTATGACCTATCATTAAAATATAAAATAACTGCGAAATCGCTGAATTAGTTTAAGCGATAAAACAGACTGCATCATCACTTCCTTCAGGTGGGATCGTGGTCAAGCGCTACCTTAACAAACATAAAAGAAAAAAACTATTTTTAACCTTATCCACATTTTAGTTGACATATTTAAACCTATTATTACAAAATCGATAGATTCACATCAACACCTAAATCAGGATGCATAAATCCCGGTGATGTCTAAACGAAAACAGCATTCAATAAGTTGAGCAAATGAAAATCCGGCTGTCCGGGAGTCTGTTCGCTTAAAAAGATCAATAAAGAGGCAATATGAGGTCGTGCGGATATGTACGCGCAGTGAGATATATCTAGCGATAGTGGAGCGATGTCTGCCCATAATATTCTTTGGGGTGCATCTCATTTGGCTTAAGAACCTGCCTTTGTCAACAAAGTTGGGGGCGGACGGAAAAATCGATAGTGTCCGCAAACGACGGGCCTCCGATCAACGCAACTCTGTTTTATGTAATTCCTGTTTTAATTTTAAATCACGTCTGTCCTTTCTATTACCTTCTATATTAACAAATCTGTTAGACTAGATGAATAAAAGTGTTGAAATAAGATTTTTTTGTCTCTAAGATTAAAACCAATTTTACTCAATTGTCTATCATTTTTAAGGATATTCATGCATAGTTATAACCTGATATTTAAATTGCTCCGTTTTTACTTTGTCACTTTTCAAAGATGTCAACTTTTAATATGCATATGGACCATAAGAACTTCCTTATTGATTAATTACTTATAGCTCAATCAAGTCTGAAACTTAATTGTCCTTTCATTAATAGAAAATAATGTTAACTTTATTCACGTGATGTTAATTCCAAAAGGCACGTGCTATAACACGGCATAAGAAGTTCTAACATACTAATACCTCTAATTGATATAACAGACGAGTAAATGAAAAGTGATGGAGCGAGATAGGATCTCTGACTGTGGAACATAATACCTGATGTGCGGAACAAAAACTTCGCACCGAACAATTAACAACTCGTTCAAGAATATTAAACAACGATACGATGTTTTAGAGATACGTCGCGCAATATACCAAAACCATTGGAGACTTAATACCTTGTCATTCATTTTTAATATAACTTTATATTGTGCTTACATTAAAAAGTAAGTAACTAAGACGAGCTTACTCCAAAGTAAGATGGTTTATTAATAATCGACTGAACCCAATAATTTTATTTCTACACGTTTGAAGTGTACACACTGGAAATAGATAGTCAAATCTTACTTTTTACTAATATTATAAATGTGAAAGTTGAAATGAATGGATGTTTGAGTTGGTAGCCTAAACGGCTAAACGCTTTTCGATGAAATTTGGCAAAGATATAGAGGATATTCTGGAAGAACGCACGCGATGAAGTCGCGGGCGAAAGATAGTTACAAAATAAATCAAAGAATAAGCCTATCAATTAAAAATGATAACATTTATATCAGCTATCTCCAAATAAGGTTTATAGAATCTGTCAAAAATATTATTATATTCTACGGAACCTTAATTTAGAAAGACGATTCGCACTTGTCCATTTTCTTAATATCACATCTCGAGTATCCATAATGCTCAGTAATCACAGGTACGCCCGATGGTTATTTACATAAATGATTTATTTATAAACCAGCAACTGAGCGTTCAACTAACATTCAATTACATTCATACTTTTGTAATACTTAAACAGACGATTTATCTACAATTTATTATAATCGAAGTTGCAATACGAGGTGTTTAGTCAATTACATTTGATTAGGTAAATGATTTACTATCTTCACGTATTTAATGATCTTGATTTTTAATGCAATATGATAAATGTTCTCTACATAAAATGCGTACAAATGCATGGAACTTGCAGATAACGGTCGATTATTAAATACTAGCGGTTGCTCGCAACTTTGCCCGCGTGAAATTAAAAAATATAGCCAAGGTTAAATACTGACAATGTAGGTTTTTAATGGTGAAAGATTTTTTGAAATCGGCCCAGTGTCGCGTTGTTAAGGAAGCGACAAGCACAACAGCTGGGTTCAGTTCATTGGCTGCCTTCGGCTTCTTGACTGCTTCCTAAACTTCTGGGTAGCAGTACTCCAATCCCAGGCGGCAAATTCCTCCTTTGACTACGCTGCCTCATGTAGGAGCAACACTTCCACATCCAAAAGGAGGAAAAAAAAACAATAGTCACAAGGAACAATAATAATAGAAGACTCAAGCCTGAGCGAATGATCAAATCAGCTTGTCCACGCTCTTTTTTTTTGAACACGTGTCTGCTGTCAAAAGTGACAGATGACGTTTTTTTTTATTTTTAAATCTTTTGACAGACACATTACACCAGTAGTTTTTAAGTTATTTGAATGCATAGAAAAATACAATTCTTTCCCCTTTATAACATTAGCTCTTATAAATGTTAAGACCAAACTTAAGCTCCAAATACCATTAAAATATTGACCACTCTAGTACTTTTCTATAACTTATAAAGTGCATACATCTAGCGTAAAATTACAACAAAAAATAAACTATAAGAACTTTTGTTGCATTTCTTAGCAAATATAATAAAGCGAGAAACGCGCCGTATGAAAACTCAATTCCTTCGAAAACGTCTCGATACTAATGTATGTTAATGTATTCAGGCGTTTTATTTGTACTTTGATCGGTTGTTGGATTTACTATTAATAGTGGAAAATTTCATTACTAAATGACTGTTATACTATTTCTAGCTGTTGTCCGCGATTTCGTCCATGCAATATTAAGATAAAAAGTAGCCTATAATTTGCCCGTCTATGTCAGCTACTCTTCAGTGAAAGTCCGGTCAAAATCATTCAAATCACGAAACCAGTCATTTCGGAGATTACCCGGACGGAGGAGGAAACGCATGTAAAGAGGATATTTCTCCTTCCTATGCATCTTCTCTAGCGTCCAGTCCACGTCCTTTTCCCATCATTTTATTATAAGAAAAAGGGACTAAATTTAGGCCTCCGATAGTAGTGCCAAATTAGTGTAGAATCATCAGACGAAACGCGGAATTGCTCACACTTCACGTCTGTCTTTTGTGTGGTCGGGGTATTTCAGCGGACGAGCCGGCCTATTCGTGCGAATGATAAAGCGGGCTCTACCACTCTTAAAAAATCAAATAAACCCTTGTAAGATTGTTCCCGTGGAATTAGAAGAATAAGAATTAATTAATGACAAAAAAAAATCTGCTGGACATCATTTTTGGTAATACATATTATCTTTATCTCACTGCCTTCATTATAAAAATACACGAATAGTAAAACACAATGCAGCCAGAATTCAAAACAGACGCCCGCTTGGTTTATTGCGTGGATATGTAAATTTTGTACGGCGACACTACCCTTATAAAGGCCCTGTTGAATTGAAAATTTAGTCGAACGAGCGAGAGTAAAGCGGCATTCAGCCAGTGCGTCCACGTCTTTCAGCGATACCGCTGCTCCGGTGTTACAAGTGCTCGATTTAAAAAGAATTAAAAACGAAATAAAAAAATCGAGTACATGTAAAGTAGAAAACGTTAATCATGATTTATAGTGACGTTTGATAGATCACTAGTGGAACGAAAAGGGAATTTTCCACGACACGGTTGTTATTGCGGCGGGAAGCGATACACTGTGACGTGTCACGTGGTACTTCGATCTGTCAAAACGAGACAGAGAGGGGGGATGGGAGAGCGGGACGGAGAGATCGCGTGCCTCCATCTGACGTGAGTAAACAGTGGCGTGCATTACAGATAAGATAAAATATAAGTTACCTTTTTAATACGCGGCCATGCTATCAGACGTAAACGGCGAATGGTGTTTTTACGTAGCATTGTTTACGTGTACTTACTTTCCATAAATTTATTTACATAAGTACCACAATTACAATGTTTCTTTTGTTTTCATTCAACATTTGTTATTTTCTTTTTTTCTATGACACAACATGTGTTTGTGTCATGTTTATCAATTCAAATCGCTAGTTTTAGGTAACCGTTTTGTCGATATTTTACGAGTCGATAGTAGGTTTTTTTTTTATATATGGCAATTACCAATTGTAAATGGCCATTAGGACAATTTAGTAGTAGATAGTAATTCACCTACTTGGCTAACTAACTGGTTACATTTTTTTTGTTAAAATGGATAAGGCGTTTTAATCTATGACATATTTTTAATACGTATGAGATATTTCAATAAAGCGAGGAATGCGTGCGGCAACGTCACCGTACGAGCTCATCTGGCACCGGGAATGGTATTTAGGACATCACGGGGAACGTGACGCGTCACGTCACTTTTGTCCCCGTATTGTATAGCACTGCGTCGTATACATTTATTTAAAGTGGCCATAAATCTTTGATTTCTTGAAAATCTCACATTTTTTCTTGTTGAAAGCGCGCGCACTTTACTAAGGTATCGCAACTGTTTAGTCCCTTTTGATTCATAAGAGCTTATATGAATATAGAGGTGCGCACACTACTCGATTTTTAATTGAACAACTGAATAGTTGAATTAACTCCGAAACAATCGACAATCGCACAACAATGCGATAGTTTAGTCAAAGGTGTGCGGCCGCTCTTATCGTGCGATGTCGATGATGGAAATGTAAAATGTATGGAACTGACAACATTAGATAATACATTTATTTAGTGCTGTTTATTTTGTCGATTTTACTAACGATATAAATAATCGAATGTTACTTTATCTAAGGGCTGTTAGCTTATTAAAGAGACTTTTTTAGGTATTCGATACAGATTGATCGATACACACTATAAGGTTTTATGTTGACATAATTTGATTAGTATTTTACAGTTTATTTCTTTTTAAAACTAACTTTATTTGGTTTTTACTTTCAAGTGTATATCTTATAGTATGATATACCTAATAAATAATGTAATAATAATTGTTACAGAATTTTCATTTAGTGAACTTAATTTTATCAGGCTAGACGTCTTTATTTATAAATGATAAAGCTCTCGCCGAGGAAGGGTGAATGTACCTAATGACTGAAAATTATCTGCGAGAGGGAGCCGCCATAACTGACTGTAGATTTGATATACATTTCTATTTACTCCATAATGATTGAGCAATAATTATGTTTTTATTTTTCTACTTTGCTTTTTTATAAGGAATTAAATTGAAGACAAATAACTGTATAGTAGATAATAATTAGTAGATTTTTATTATTTTCTAACATTTCCTTTAATCATTCCAACTAAGCTCTAGGCTTGTGCTAGGTGTTCACGCCAATAGTCGAATGGCGGGATTCGAACCCTCAAGTATGAACAAACATTTAATGATTTACTTTTTACTTTTTTAGCATTATGTTTAATTTCTAGATTTCGAAAATGATTGCGTTCTTGATGAGTAAAAAAATTAAAAGCAAGAATCCTACGAGGTCTTCCAGACTATGCTTTACATCTATGACAAATTTCATCGTGATTCGTTCAGCCATTTATATGTAGGTGGGAAAATCTAACAAACATCCATCTATCTAAACTTTCGCATTTTTAATATTACTTAGGTTATTTTAACTCCCTTCTAAAGTCTGTATATAAAATATACGCACTACTAAATCGGTCTTTTCAGTGAGTTTTCTCTAAAAACAACCGACAAACACAAACAGTCACCGGGCGTTTGTTTTATCATGGGATATTGATAATTTGCAGCACGTGGCCGCTCTGTAGGAAGCGATGTTTTTTTAAACGCGCCATCGGCCCGGGGCGCGAGCTTTTCTTTTAAATTTTACCTCTACTATGCACAGAATAAACACGATTTTACGCTTTATTGGTACGAATAAACTGTATTACTGTCGGACTATTATATACCTAGAGTTACATACACATTACCAAGTCAGCTGGAAATTTCAAATATGTATTTTAAATAAACTGTTTTAGTTGTAATATTTTGAAACAATTCATTTGATAGTAAATTATTTTATCTATAGCAATTTTATCAAAAGGAAAGATTTGTATTTTTCTATGTATTGGAATAACTCAAAAACTACTTGGCAGATTTTAAAAATTCTTTCAACGTTAAAAAAGGTAATTTATCTGTAACAAAGGCCATATTTATTATATATTTTTTTTATTTTAAGGCGGACGTAGTCGTGAGCAACAGCTTTAGTGTACTATAAAAGTAGCAGGTATATAGTGTTTGCTTTAACACTGAAATTTGTATTTAACATGGCCCAACTAAAGTGCATACGAGACATCAGCGTAGGCACGAACACTACATTATATTATGTTCGTATTCGCGGCTCGCAGCGTTCACAAGTGCGGCAAGTGAACGTCACTCCCTCACAACTTCATTACACTACCCTCTCCGACACATTATTATGTAAATTCCAATTTAAAACCACTTGTTATCTAGTTAGTTAGGAAAAATACCTACCGAGGAGACCCCAAATTAGCCGCGGGCTGTCCACTCAGTGTGCATAACCGATGCCGATTGACAAACGATGCGTTCGACTGTCAAATTTCTAGTTTTAACTGCGACATGGTGGAATACAAAATTATACTTCGGTTTATTTTTAAATTGCTATTGGATTTTCAACTTTAAAACATAGTTGTTAAGTTCTATGAATTCTTTTGGTAATGGTAAAATGAGTAACGATATGTTGGTTTCGCTATAGGTGCGTAATGGGGGCCTTGTTATGGTAATGATAGCCTTGAGGCGCGACTTGCCTGGGGCTTGGCTACCCCATGTGCACTAAGATGTACTCTATGATGGAGTGGTCATCGATTGACTTGTACAAAAGTCACTTTATAACTGTAATCATTTTAAATTTTCACACACATTGCAATGTTTCTTATTGTTAATGCGCTGTTAAGCAAAGTATGGGACTGCATTGGAAAGTTTAGTAAGTGGTTGATAGTGACGTCACGGTCTGAAAATCGATTGTTAATTATCGCCTACCATGTTTTTTTTTTGCATAGGATTTTAAAACCGTCAAGTACTATTGGCTAAAAAAATTCATCAGAACTTTGTTTTTATAAACTCAATTCTTCATGTTTTTTTCCTTTAAAAAATTAACTACATCCTATTTTAAACAATTCATTTTAAAGTAAACTTACTAGTAAAAAAAAAAAAAGATTTTTAGCAGAGCGTGGTTTCGATCCACGGACCTCTGGGTTATGGGCCCAGCACGCTTCCACTGCGCCACTCTGCTTGTTGCCATTGCTGTGAAATTATGCATTAGATTTTTATTCTGAACTCTACAAACTATTTAAAACACCTCTATTTTTTACTAACTTTAAGTGTTACACTAAAAATGCATTCGCTTATAACTATCTTTTACAATATAGTCGCATATACAACCATAATATAGCATTGAAAATAGCTAATAATCAGTTTAAAATATGACAAACAAATATATAAATCTCCAACAAAAGCCCGTAGACACTTAAAACTGTATAACATCAATTTCAAAAGTCCCTTGATAAATCCATTTAACAAACTACTTTCAGCAAGTGGTTTGACTCTATCGTAAATTGGGGGTCCACTTAAAAACTTGCACAGAATGTGAGGTCACAGTAACAATGTGACTGCCCTGAGGCTAGCTCTCATTTATGAACTCGTATAAAATCATGAGCCAATTCTATACATCTGTCTTCGTTTATAGAATTTTGAAGTACTGGTAGCCGATGATTAGACCAAAAAAGGTAATCGTTGATCAAAGAATTAAGAAATATTTAAGTTTCAGACTAATCGTATACGTAGAAAGATTTCATGCAATAAACATACTCTCGAATACCAGTATAATTTAAGTAACAAGTTCAATTGCAACATAACCTCAATTTACGACATCTATTGGCGTAAAGCTCCGCATTCATATTTATTGGTCAATTCTTGTTATACCGGAGAAAATATTAATACCAAATAAGGGACCCCTGAGAAGAAATTAACAAATACGGCGTATCATTTCCTATGGTGGTGTTAGGGTAAAGGTTCCAGTAATCGTTCCCGGCGCTAGCAACAATGGTCACCTCGGGGAGTCTGTGGATGTCAATAAAACGCTACAAAGACACCCCGCAGTGCCTCGTACAGGGCTGACACTCGCCTTCTTTATGGTATTAGAACGCTTAATCTTTCCTGGACTAGGGTGTCGGGTTTATTGCCTTTACTAATGCTCATTTGGGAATGCCTTGCTTGAGTTAGCGTTTCTGTAAAGGAATTAGATCGATATATCCTTTTAGTGTTTACCGACGACATTTAGTACAATTAATGTGCGTTTTAATAATTATATCTCAATAAACATTGGAAGAACTATATCCAAAATAACATATTTTTTTAAAGAAATGGTAGACTATTTGTGAACTGAACATCTTTTGTTTTGCTAACGTATGAATCGTTGGCTCACAACTACATGGTTAGCCTACACTTGACCAGCGTAGTTGACTAAGGCCTTAGGCCTTAGGCCTTAGGCCTTAGGCCTTAGGCCTTAGGCCTTAGGCCTTAGGTCATATAGTGAGCTGCTGATGAATCATGGGCACAAATAAAGTCTTCACAAATCAAATGACCTCCAAACTTTCTTAAGAATTACAAACTACTCAAACAATAATGTTACTTTTTTGTTGAGAAGTTCACTAGTATTGGGTCCATTTAGCAAATACTGACTTGTGTAAATAAATCATTCTCCAAACATGACGTAGGGTGACTGCGCTAAAAGGGAGCATTACTCTCGACTCATAAACCGAAATTAAAACTTTTCGATACATTGCTCGCTCAC